AAAAAAAAAAAAAAAAAAAAAAAAACCTCGTTTTCTAGGCCGTCTGGATCGTCGATGAGGGTGGTAAAAAATAAGGCACTATTTTTTTTGGGCGGCCCAGGGCGTGAACAATCGCCCCCGACCACTGAAAAAAAAATTGGCCATTGGGCTAGGGCCCTCACATCCGGACCAAGATCCGAACCCGGACCCCGGACCTCGAACCACGGACGGTCCGGATCTCTGTCCGGTGGTCCGAATCGTAGCCATGGCCTACACTCTCTATGTACAAAACTCTCAAGGGGTAGAGGAAACAAGGGAAGAGAGAAACGAACCCGTATCCCTTGCAAGAAGAGTAAGAGATTGAAAAACAAAAGAGAAGAAAACCGAAGTGACAGAAAGAAAGATAAGAGAATATCGGGGAAGTTTATGGTCAAAATGGTTGAACAAGGGAGACCTAGTTCCTCAGCAGGGACTCACGAAGAGACTCTTGTTCGTGTTATACGAGAGCTGGTCGAGAGAGTTGACACGATAAAAGAAGGGTCGGATATTGCAAGAGCAAAGAGGCCACATGAGAGGATTTCATGCTTCAGAGGGCCTCAAGTGAATGATTTCTTTGATGAGTATCAGTTATTTGGGCTCAGTTATGGTTGGACAAACAAACAGCGAAAACAGCGACTCAAGCACCTTCTATCTTATTGTGATACTGACTCGAGGTTGGATGTCCAAGAGTTGATGGAAGGAGCTACAACTTGGGAAGAAGTCAAAGAGAGAATGACACCTTCAATGTCTTCCTTCAAACTTTTATCAGAACCGCCAGAAGAATCCCATATTTGAACGAGGCTCAGAGATGCCATATTTTTCTGATTAATTTTACAGATAATGAGAGACAGACTGTTCTCAATTAAGCTCGGCACTACCCTCTCAGATGGGATGAAATGGTTGCAATAGTCAGAACTCTACCTACGGTTTCACACAAGAAATTGTCACTGGATCAGATCAGTACATTGGCTAAAGACTGGGAGACCGATAATGGTATAAACAGAGGGAACAATTTGAGTGCGAAAAATCTCATTCAACGGGTTATGGCCAATTACATGCCTGCTAATCATGTTGCTGATGAAAAAGGGAAGAAGAAGGCTGAAAACAAAGATGAAGAAGATGATGATGATAGCTATGGTAGAAAAGGAGATTCCTGCAGGTCAAGAAAGAACAGAAGGAATGGTGGAAAAGAGAACAGAGAGCGAAAAAAGTATGATGAACATCCAAGGCAGAGTTTTGTGTGTTATTATTGTGGTGAAGGAGGTCATACTACCACCTATTGTAAAAACCTCTGGAGGAGGATATGAAGAGTGGGGCGGCTAAGAAGGATACAATGGGTCATGTCTATGACAGCTCATCGAACAAACTGGATCCCAGACATCCTGGAGGTATGAGACTTCTTGGCCTTAAACATGAAGAGAAGATGAAGAAAAAAAAGAAGAAAAAAACCAATGTGAATGTCCACTTTCTCATTGGTGACTTACCTGAGGAACTTGTGCAGAAAACAGATGACCCCTTCTCATTAATCGAATTACCATTGCAGTCCCTAACTTAGTGAAAGACATATCTGACGAGGCTTCTCCAAGCGAGCTTTCGTTGGGGGAAAGTTCTGCTTTTCATACGTCTTCTGAGGTAGTCGCATTTTCACCTCGTGAGCCCGCTTGTTCAACCAACATGATGTTTTCTGAGGGTGATCTACCACCGAAACTCATCATGAAACCCAACGAGGTGATTGAAGAAGTGAGGAATCTTCAGGCACGCGACATTGCTCCATCAAACTTTTGCGCCACAAATGATAGAAGAAAAAAAGAGAAGAAAGGTCGAAGAGACTCTAATTGACATTCTTGATGATCAAGAACCAGACCCTCAATTGAAGAAGAGTGAGCAAGGGAAGAAGAGAAAATTCATCCTCCACAGTGAGTTGGAAATGGAACTGTAATTACGGATGTACTTACGAAAATGTTAGAAGAAACAGAAGTGATTTTGTCTTTCAAAGAGACAATGACGTTAGCACCAAAGTTGAGAGAGGAATCAAGAAGTTAATTGAAAAGAAAAGGATGGAAGTTTATCTGGGATCAGTCTTCCCCAACCAAGTCAACAGGACCTTTGCCTAGATGTAAAATATGATTCGCAACTATGGGTTGTGGGTATTTAACTATCTAGATTAATCAGGTGAAAATTCGAGCAAATGTTAAGTATTATTATAGAGCAACTCTTCGTTGCAGGGTTTATTGACAATTTGCCCATCAGGGTTGGGATGATGTCAGTTGAACTATTGGGATTTGTGGTACCAGATCTAGACCATGATTGTATTATAGGCACCCCGTTCTTGCACGTGATGGAATTTGTCCAGTTCTTCAGTCATAAAGAGTCGTCCTAGATTGGCTTGCAAGATCCGGAGACTGCACAGTAACATACTTTTATGGTATGTAGCATGGGAGCGGGGGGCAAGTGAACCGGACAAGTCCAGACACCCAAAACCGGATTTCCCGGTTTCATCTGATCGTCCGGACTTCCGATATTTTCCGGTTAATCCGTACATGTCCGGATCGGCCTGTCCGGATCCCTGTCCGGATGGGTGTACATGTCCGAATATTTAAAAAAAAAAAAAAAAAAAAAAGTTATACAAAGTACTGCAAATGGGTTGAAAACAACAAAAAGGCCATGTGGCACAGATAGGGGCGGGGAGGGGAGGTTATAGTGAGTACATGTCAACAACCAAGATGAGGGGGAGGAGGGCGAAGACCTGGAGGAGCAGCAGGAGGAGGGCAAAGACGTGGACGGGGAGGAGCGGGAGGAGAATGAAGACGAGGAACCTAACGACAAAGTTTCGAAAAAAAAAGGAAAAAAGGTGCCACGTGGCATGAGCAGGGAAGGGAGTAGGGGAGGTTATAGCAAGTACATGACGATGACCAAGACGAGGAGGAGGAGGAGCGGGAAGAGGACGCAGACATGGAGAAAGAGGAGGCAGATGGAGGAGCAGAAAGAGGGAAGACCATGACAACAAAACGACGAGAGAGAGAGAGAGAGAGAGAGAGAGAGAGAGAGAGAGAGAGAGCTACTTCCACTACTCCTTGCTGGGCTCCTCGCATGGCCTTCCCGGCACCCACTGCCAGCTCTCCTGCGCTTGCTCCCCGTCTGCTCCTTGCCTGCTGTATTCGCCTCGTTGATCTGCTTCTTCCTCCCTCTGACAATGGTGGTAGTGGCGGGCATGCAAGCTCAAACATTATTGTGAAAGGGGGGGCGGCCGAACTCGCAAGGCTGAAGGATGAATTCAAAGACTGTGCCCACTACGAAGCTGCCACGATGCAAGGACGACATTCAAACGGGCAGAAACATGAAAGGAAGAAAACTTCCCACAGGCAAAAAAAATAAAATTATGGCCCTATCGGATGCCCCTTCAGGGCCAAAAAAAATATGCTCATATTTTTGGTTGGCAGCCCTGGGCGAGACGAAACGCCCTGGACAGCCAAAATAATTTGGTCGTTGGCCAAAGGGTCTGGAATCCGGACCGGGATCCGGACACGTT